CAGGGAAGGCAAATAATCAAGATTTTGCTTAAAGTGGCAACACCAGAATCCCCAAGGGTGGGAAGCTCATTCTTTGTCTGCAGGATGTCTGGAGTGATAAGTAGCTGTTTTATTAAAACCCATGCGGCGCTTTTTTGTCCTGACAAAATTATCATTTGCTGTTTGGTATGGTGTGTTTAAATGCAAGGTACCCTAAAATTTAAGGCACAAAATGAAGCAATGGGATGGAGGTGGGAGAAGTTACTTAGTGCTGTGTAAGCAAAAAAAAAACCTCTATAAAGTTGTAACTTTGAATTTTCACTTGAAGTGGTTTTATGCCACAGTGGGACCTTTCCTTTGGTCTGATTGATGCAGTTGACAGTATGTCAGTCAAATGGGAAATATGAGTTCTTTTGTATAACACAGGTCAGCTTGAAACTTCTCATATATCACATCATATCTGATATGTGTTCACTGTGTGAGTAACGCTGCTGCTAATTCCTTTATGAATGTCTCTTTGTAGTATGTTATCGCAAGTTAGAACTGTGCACTAATTTAGGCTGGCACAAGCCAGTGCTCTCTAATAAACATGCAGTAGCAAATGCCTCATTTGTACTTCCTGTAGATAACATGCAAATCTGGATCTCCTGAGTCTTTTGTTCTTAATTTGCTAAATGAAACTTTTATTCATGGTGTATACTACCAAAAATTAGGCTGATTCTGATGCAGTCTAAGTATGCTCATGGTTATATCCATCTTGCTGTATCTACTTATGCTAGGAATAACGTATGTCTGTACCTTAATGAACTGGGGCTTCCTCGAACAAGCAACGTGTGCCCAAGACTTAACACAGTAATTTCTTGCAGCTCTTCCCAAACTCTTTTTCTGATTTGCTCTTTTTCAAATCTAGATACTGTTAGCCAAGTCCTTCAGGGAAAGCCTGTTTCTGAATGAGTGTCTGATAAATATACTCTTGTGTGCGAGAAATAACTTTGATTTTGCTCTACAGAGTGTAAATCTGTTGCTTTGCAGAATTCTGTAAATCTTCACCCTGATAAAGGAAGACTATGAGAGTGGTTAAAGTAGAAAAGCAGACTACATTGATCAGGACTGCTGCTTTACAAAAGCTGTTGCTACCTTCTAGGTGTTTGCTTGCCTGAAATCCAGTTTTCTTGTTCTCTTTCCCAGAGGAAAAACTGCAGTTGTGACAGGAGTGTTCATGAAGCTCCTCTGAAAAGCGCAGTATCTGGGTCAAAATTATCCAAGCAGTGGGGAATTTCTGCAATCGTTAATTGTATTTATACTTTAGTTATGTCACATAGAAACGTCCCTAAAACTTTGGGGTTTTTTTAATCTTCTGACAAATATATCTCTACTGCAGCCATCACCTCTGTTTTCAGAAGCTGTGCATTGGTCAACCCTTATCAGTTTTAAAATGCTCATAATTTATTTCTACACTAGCTGCCTCATAAAATTCTGGCTTAAGCATGCCGGAGGTTTTTTAACACTGCATTTTGAGATTTTAGGGGATTTCAATCTTAGGTGTTATAAATTGCACTGCATGGCCTTTTTACTGCAGTAAGTGAAGCCTGGAGCAGCAAGTAAGGAGAGAGGAACTGAAAATGGAATCTCTGAGGAGAAAGGAGCAACCAGATTTTGAAGAATGATGTTTAGGCCTGTTGCAGTGTTCATTAATATTCACTCCATCCAGTTACCACAGCAGAAATAGAACTGGAATGCATGTTCTGGGGTAGGATGGTACCTTTTTCATCATCAGCATGCCTGGGACTTGCTGTATACTCCAGGGAAAGTGTGGAATCACCTTGTAGCCAAAATCAGGTGGGAAATAGGGAACAGCGAGCTAATGCGTCATGGGGATGGGATGCCCTGAGAGGATGCGACATCTCCATCCTTGGAGATTGTCAAGGTTTTGCTAGTCTATGATTGTGCCACCAAACAGGACCTGATCTCCTGTTGGTGATGATCCTGCTCTAAGTGGGAGGTTGGACTGGATGACCTGTGTAGGTCGTATCCAGCCATTGCTTCTGTGGTTCTCAGTGCTTGAAGATCTATTACATCAGGTTTAGTAATTCCACCTTTTGGCATTAATTGCTTTCCTGGCAGTTTGCTTTGCTTAGTCTGCATAACCACTTGTGAGTACTAGATTTCAGTGCTTTCAATATCCCATAGGTGGGGCTTTTTTATCAACACCATGCCGACCTTTTCTTCCTCAAGCTACTTTTCTATTTGTATGCCTACTGCATGTAAAATCTATATAGACAGCACAGCTGCAATCATCTAATAACAGCAACAAGTTCCTCTTTTTTCTCTGTGTTGCTGTATCTACTCTGAGACCTCTTTGCTCCTAGTGATGAGAGTGGGAAGAAGCAGCTGGTGGCTTCCTGCATGTAAAGATAAGAGTTGTGTCTGTGGGTCACGCATTGCTCAGAAACAGAGAAGTAAGTGGAGAGTGTACTATGCATATGGAATCCATATTGTGCCCTGTGCCCCCAGGCTGTTCTTGATCAACTGAAGAAGCATGATGCTTTCTGAAAATCAGTGCCAAGGTGCTTTAGCTGTGGCCTGGCTCAGCTTCTGTAAAGGTAAGGTACTGCATTGAGCCAGCAGGTGTGTTCTGACTTTGAATCCTAGTGCAGGAGCCAGAAGGGGTCTGGAGTGAGGCTGCTGTGTTGTCCTCACCCGCGCTTCTCTGTAGCTTTGCCAGTACACGTTATAAACAGTTTTGGAGACTTCAGTAAAGAAGCTTCTGTTCTTTGCCACTGGTGAAGAAATAAAAATACTTTTACAAGTTAGTGTAGCAGAGTGCTTTGCTGCTCGTTGGTAGCAGAGCAGCTAGGGTTATGTCTGGCAGATAAAGACCCGCTATGGAGTATTTTTATAGTGTTACCATGTAGCATTTCTGGCTTCTCCATGCTCTTGAGTGTTCCTAAGTCACTCAGTGGCCTTTTTAGCAGAATGTATTTTGTTGCTTGTTTTGAAAAAGCCTGGAAGGCAACTTTCTTTGTGGGGTTTACTGTTGCCAGATGAATGGAATGTTTTTCAATGGAGTATGTCAACTGCAAATATCCATAGGTTGGTTGCTGAAAGCAAAATTTTCAGCATATTTGAAAACCTGGCAGAAAGAATAAATAAAACCTCCTGCCATGGTGTTCAGAGGACCGTGGCAAATTGGCAGACAAATTTGAGGTTTGTTAGAGATTGCTCTGCATGCGTGTATTAATGTATACATCTGATTAAAGTCCTAGTAGTTTCTCAGCAGTCCAAGTGACATGCAGTTGGTGTTTAGTTATTGATTGTGTTCACCTTATAATCTCTCTGTGAATCCAGAGCCTGTATCATGAACATAACCATGCAAACTAAGCTTTTAGCCAAGTGTCATTTCAGTCTGAAAAGTTAGATAAAGATTATTTAAAATGTTGTAAAATCACTTTCTTTGTACAGAAAAAAAGGAGGTATAAACACAAGCAAACTCAGACTTCAGAACTGTGGAGTTTTAAAAAAATACCAGATTATGCCTCTGAGAACGTATTAGAAATACCCATATTGCTTCTATTTGATCTGCCACCTTAAAACTCATTTTGAGAGCTGGATTTGGGAGTGGGGTTTTTCAAGATGTTGGTAGATCTACCCCAATATTTTTTGCCCTTTTGCATCTAACAGCCTTGAGGTCATACGGAGCCCATAGTCACTCTTGCTGGTTTCTGTTTAGAGGAAACAATTTGTAAACAGTTGGACAGTTTGTTTCTCTAATGTGGTAAATGCGTGAGCTTTGATCCACTGTTGAGAAGTCAGGGTGGGTTCTGCCCTGGTGAAGTTCGGATGTGCTTCTGAGGGTGACCAGCCTTGCTCTGTGGTTAATGTCAGACTCTGAAGCATGTTGCTGTTCAGGCGAGGGGAGATATGCAGAAATCAGAGATATGCAGAGAGAAATGGACTGGGGCGTGGAGAGCTAAGAAATGCTTTTAAATGAAGGGGAGGAAGGGTTTAGGGATCTTGTGGATGGTGGTGCCAACGGAGCGAGCAGTGCCAGCAGTTCAGTGCTACTGCCTTGGCAGGTTTCTTTCCCTCTTGTTTCTGACCCAGGCAAGATGGCAAAGGATGTGCTGTTGGATGGTTTCTCTGTAAGCCTGAGAGCAGGAAAAAGCTGGAAACGTGCAGTGCAGCTTGACGGGTGTTTGGCTGTGCTCCTCAGTGATGCTGTAACAGGGACAGAGCCTGGTAGCTTGGGCATCCTGGTGCTTGAGTGGGAGGGGTGAAAATCTGGGTGGAGTAGTGAATTCGGGAGCAGGGGCAAAATAGCCTCGCTGAGCTTAGACCTCATGCTTTTATGACTAGGAGTCCATGATTTCTGACCTCCTTGTATTCTCACACCATTTAATGTGCATTTTATCAGCCTACTGTATCAAACACAAGGGGTGTTCTTGCGAGCTGCGGGCAGACAAGGCAAGCTTTGTGCGGTGGAAGTGGCGATACCCCAAGCACACCAGAGCAGAGCGAAGATGCTGAGGAGAGCTGGGCGGCGTTTCCCTGTCCGGATCGCGCCGCTGCCAGCTGGGCATTTTCACAGCGTGCTGCGGGCCCAACACGGAGGCAGCACCCGGAATAGCTGCCTGGTGTCGGGGCGAGGAGGAGCCGCGCTTCGAACGGTTCTCGGAAAACCAGGGCGAAACCGCAGCCGCCGCTGTCACGGGGAGAGGCGGGCAGGGAGCGGAGGAGGGAGGGGGACGTGCTTCGGTGCCGCCCACGAGTGCGGGGACACGCGTGGAGGAGGCGCGATAACGGCGTGGGTGCGCGTCCGGCGCTTTGTCTGCCCGCACCGAGCAGGCCCGCTCATTAGCGGCTCTCCCCGCACGGCCCGGGGCCGGCGGCTCTTTGTGTGGGGGCCTGGTCCCCTCCACGGGCGCAGCGGGGCGGGAGAGGCGCGGAGTCGGCCGGTTGCCATGGAGAGGGGCGGTCACGTGGGGCGGTGGCCAGGGGCTGACGTGAGCGGCGGGGCTGGGCGGGGCGGGGCTCGGCGCGGCGGGCGGGCGGGCGGTGAGTGTCGTGTGCCGCCACCTTCTGCACACCAGCAGCGCGGGGCTCGGCGGAGGCAGCCGCGGGAGCGCCAATGCCTGGACCGACACAAGCCCTGTCCCCAAATGGCGAGAACAATAACGACATCATCCAGGATAACGGGACCACCATCATCCCCTTCAGGAAGCACACCGTGCGGGGGGAGCGCTCCTACAGGTACTGCGGCGGATGGCGGGGCGGGGGGGGGGGAGGGTGGGCTGCAGCCCGGGGGGGCGGTTGCATAAGCGGGCGGGCTGCAGCTCCCCCATCTCCCCGGTCCCGCCGGCGCGGGGGAACGGGAGCTGGCATTGTCCGGATGGGAAGCGTTCGGTGAATAGGCGGGATGTCTGCGGGGCTCGCCGCTGCCGGCGGAAGAAAGGCGGGTTGAGATAATAAAAAGCAAAAACAAAAGGGGAAAAAGGGAAGAGGGAGAAGAAAAACGGGAAGGAAGGGAAAGCGAGCCCCGCACAGGCAGCCAGCTCCCCCTGGAAAGAGCCGCAGCACCTCGCTGCGGATACCGGAGGCGGCGCCGTGCGGGAGGCGGTGGCCGGGGATGGCGGGGTGCGGGCAGCCCCTACCCGGCCCGAAGAGCGCACCGGGCGGTGGGCACTGCCCCAAAGGGCTGCTGCGTCCCTCCAGCCCCGGCACACCGGCCCGAGGCTGACAGCGGCCTCCCGCTCGTCGGGGCCGGGCTGACAGCCCCCACCCACCTCACCCCCCCGGTGCTTGCGGGAAGGGGGGGGGGGGGCTCCATCCGTCCTCCTCCTCCCCCCCATCCCCCGCCACCCCCATTTTGTATTTATCGTTTCTCATTTGGGGGGGGGGGGTGGCACGTCCTTTGTCGCAGTTGTAGGCATTTTTGATGAATCGTTTGGCATGCGTTGCTGGCAGCGCTGCTGCGTTAACATCTCTGACAATATGCTCCGGCAGATAAGCTCATTAAAATTGTTTGCATTGTTTGATAAGGGTCGCGGCGTAGCCCGGAACGCAACTGGTTTGATGTGCTCCTTGCTGCCGACTCGATAAATACGGCCGGTAGCTCCCCTTATGTTAATATACAGTTATTTTAAATACTGCCCGAGTGACAGCAAGTGGTGCCTCTGCAGAGAACACGCCCCTTAAAGCTGATTTTCGAACGGCAGGAAATGATGCTGCTCTCGAATATCTGACTAAAGTGGCGAATTGTATGCTCGATTAGATGAAAACAAATGTGGATGACTTTGCTTGATTGAAGAAAATCACAGTATTTCTTCTGCTGCTGAGGAATAACAGAGCTGCTGAGCATTAATAACCTTAACAGTGAATCTTATTGTTGATCGCACACTGACGGGAGACCGTGAAATGCATCAGAGATCCTAGCGTGTGGTTTGTTTCAATACCACAAAATTTAGTCTGTCTCTCTCTCTGAATCTATTGATGCTTTGTGTAATGAAGCCCCGGATGCATGCGTTTAGCTCAAAGTAGTGAAATTGCTTTTGTAAAGACCTCTTTCTACTTGCAGAAAGATTGGAGCTCTGGCTTCCTATACTTACAATTCAGATGAGTGGTACAAGGTTCTGTTGTAGAGGAAAGCTGTATTTTTATCGTGCATCTAAGCAGAAATATGTTTTACATGAATTATCATGGATCTATTTTTAGTGCCACATGTGTCAGGTGCTACTGATTGCTATCTCACTGCTCTCCTTCAGAAGGGTTCTTCATAAAATCTCTGTTAGATGGGGTTCTCCTTATCCTCTTGCAATAGGTTTGTATGTAATTTTCTGCAGCTATCAACAAGGCAGTCATCTTATCCTTCTACCTGTCATATCATACATTGAACTGTGTCTAGGGAAGAGTCTTTGTGAGGCTGCTGTGTTAAACACATGATGACAGAAATAGTTATGTTACCCAGTTTTCCAGAAACTGTGAAGTTATTCTGTGTGTGAATAGCCTTTCATCCAAGAGAGAACTCCTTAGTCTTAGCTTTGTATCCATTTGTATCCGTACCTGGAGCAATATAGAGGGATGCAGAACTACTAACGTTAATGTCACATGTTATCTTTGAGCAGTAAATAAACAATCCAATTCAGTATTTCAGAAATAGACCTTTAACGCACTAATAAAAATTTCCACTGGGGAATTATATTCTCTTTGCCTTGTGGAAACCTATCTTGATCTACAAAGTCATAGCACCTATTTCTGTTTATTTCCCCCTTTCTTCATGGAGGTGGATGATATTTGATTTGTTTTCACCTGTAGTTGACTACTTTGTGAGGTAAATATTAGCCACAACACAAAGGAAGCGTTAAAGAAATATGTGAAAATTGTGGTGAAATTTCTTCTTGACACTGGAAAAGAATGGGCTTTTAACTGCCATGAAAACTTTTAGAAGGTATACTAATTTGGTTTTTGATTGGTTTGAGTTGCAGCAGAAGATCACTAAATACAACAGGTTAATACCATCAGTATTGTGCCGACTGCCACGCTGCACTGTTGGTGCCAGGCTGACTTTGAAGCAGACTTATGAAGCAGCCCATACAACTTCACTGTATGACACATCAGGTTGCTATGCCTCTGATTGTCAGGCTGGTTTGTTCCATCTGTATCTAGAAATATGGAATAAATAAGTCATTAAACACAGCCTGGAGCATGACACCAGATCAGCAGTTGTACTGATCTAGAAGCACATAATTTGCTCACAACTGCAGCTTTGCTCTTAAGTTAAACTTCATCTGCCCTGTGTATAGAGGCTCAGTATTTACCTTTTGCTTCTCTCTCCTGTAATATCAGAAATGCTTTCTCATTTTACTACTTTTAACATGCTCTGTTTCATAAATATTTTAAAACAGAAGTTGTTTGATCATAATGAATGTGTTTACCAGTTTAGTCTTAAAGTTTACTGTTTCAAATACCATCTCCTACCAAAGACTTGATATCCAGCTCCTGAAGCAGACTTAGAAAGAGCTGTTTACACCATTTTATACACTAGGAAGCTGGCAATGGATGGCATTGCCCTAAGTCATCCTTTGAGTTTAGAATGCAGCAGGGAGTTGAACCTATACCATATGAGTCCCAGTTATGTGATCCGTATGCAAAGCCACAAATAGTTTTCCCAAGTCTTCCAAAGGACGTATTACATTTTGCAGACTGGGACATACAGGCCTGAGGTGTTAAGTTTCTCATCCAGCTTTACTTAGCTGGTAAATGGAAACCAGGCACTTTGGCATAAAATTTAGTCACAAGTAGATGTTACCTTTTCGGAGTAAACAACTGTAATCAATCTTTATTTCTCCAGTGAAATGCTGTTTCAGGCTTTCTGGATCTGGAGGCTGACTTTAAAATCTGTTTGGAACTAAGGTGTCATTTTTTTGGCCCAAAATAGATTTGGGCTCACTTCTGAGAACAGCATTACATTTAATTATAGTTTTACTTCTATCTTCAAAGAAGGCTGAAAAAATTCAATGAGAAACCGAATCAACAGCTTTGTGGGGAATTTTTTTGAGCAGGGCATGTCTGCAGTGCTTTTTTGTCAGACTCCAGGCATCTTGTGTGGTTGTTCAGCTCGTCAGATTTTTAAAAGCAAGCTGGACGAAGAGTTTGAATATCTCCAAGTTTGAACAGCATACCTAGCCTAAACCATTCTGGTCTAAAAGGGAAAAACTGTTGTACCCTCCTTTGCAAGATACCATGTCTAACTTCTGTTTCATCTACATGCTGATAGAAAAATGGTTATGTGGCTAAGTTTAGTTTTATACCCCCAATTTCATAAAGGAAGGGGAAAGGGGACTATCTTCCTGATTATTTCTTTTCAAATCATTAAGCTTAAAGAAGCTCAAAAACCCCACCAAACCTTCCTTCTTATGAGTAGGTACCTCTCTGATGGTATCTGTTTTTAGATACATTTTCCTAAATGTCATCTTCCTCTTAGAGAATGCCTTCCTCTTATGCTGTGTGTAATAATGAAAGCTTGGCGGAAGTGGCAATTTCCTCACCCATCGCTGAAATAAACCATGGGGTGTTACAGAGTGTATCTGGCTGTCTTTTACTCGGTATGAGCTGACAACTTCCACAATGAAAGTAGAGATTTACATTACAGCAAAATCTGTTTTGATCCTTGCCTTCTCAACTCCCAAAGAATTGCTGGATGCAAGCTGGTCCCGTGTGGCAAAGAGCATCCTTCCCTCTGCAGGATATGTCCCTGCCATCATCTCTGGTGCTCTGCCTTTCACACTTGTGCAGCTTTACTTGGGATACAAAGGGAGACTCATGGCTTTACCTTACTTTGAGTTAGAAGGCATTTCTTGCTCTAAAATTAGGTTCCATTGAGTATAGTAAGCAGGTAATTTCAATGAAGTAAAAAAAGACTATTTGTGTTGATAAAACTAAAGGCCCAAACTTGCTGAGAGCTGGGAAGATGATACAGAGTAAAAGCAGTGAGTTGTCTTAATCATCCCCAGTGCAGATGGGCGCAACTGTTTTCATCCTCTGAAACTGTACATGCTAGTCAAAGCAAATGCTACTAAATATATTAGTAACTGAATTATTTTCAGGGGTGTTTTCTCTTGGCCTAAGGACTCTTATTGCATATTATGAGAATTTTGCCCTAGATTTCACTGGAAGCAGGAGAAAGGCAATAATGAATGGTCTTTTTTTTTTTTTTTAAGTAAGAAAAGCAGCATGAATCATACCCTATTGATATTCCCCTTGCCTGTCAAGAGTCTGGGTTGCAACAAGATAGTTACTACCTATCCAAAAGAAGACCATCCTGATGAGTTTTAGCTAGCAGCTAGTAACCAGCATAAGAGGCATCATGCAGAAATCTCTCTGGTTCCTGTGGGCTTAGGTGCACTCTATTTTCCCTTCTTTCACTTTTGTAAAGCTGGCTTCCTGTTGCTGCTGCTGCTCCCCTTTAATCTTGTTTTCTGATTAGGGAGTACTTTGCCTAAGGAGAGCTGTTTTGGTGTGTTCTGCTGAGCAGAAGTACCCAAAAAGCACAGGGTGAAACTGTCTGAAGATAACTGGGAATCACATGTGAATGCATGCAAATATCTTGGAGGGTTAGGAGGATGACTCTGCTGAATACTGTGTAGTTTGAAACCTAGAGAGTCTGCCTCCATTACTGGGCTATTTCTCTTGACCTGGCTTTACATCTTCCTTGAAGGAAACGTCTTCACAATGTTTGGGGAGTTGAGGCTATT